ATATATACACATACATATATATATTATACACACGCACAAAGAAAAACAAGTAGATAGAATAGAAAAAATAGAAAGCTAGTGTTTGTTTGTTTTTTGTTGTTGTTTTTTTTTTATAAAAAAAGAAGATAAATATAGATAAAGTAGAATTAAAATAGAATAGAAAGTGCTAGAGTTAGAGGGTCAAATAAAGGTGGAACAGGTGTGTTTTTAGTCGTTTCTTGAAGAATGGATGTTCTTGGATGTGGCTGAGACATATTTTTCTTGACTTTGCAGCATTTGAGGACATGCTGGAGAACCCGCTGAACAGCACGCAGTGGATGAACGATCCTGAGACAGGTCCTGTCATGCTCCAGATCTCCAGAATCTTCCAGACACTCAATCGCACGTAAAACACACCTCATCTGTGGAGCGGCTAGAACCACAGCATAGGGAAAAAGGTCAATCATTTAGAAGAGAAGTGTGTGTGTGTGTGTATAGTTTGTTTGTGTGTGTGTGTGTGTGTGTGTGTATGTGACATAACTATTGTTTTAAGTGGAGAAGTCACAGAAGATGAATGTAAAAACACAATGACATTTTCACATCATGTTAAACAGAGGAAAATATCTATTTATAACTGCACAACACTTGTATAAATACAATGTAAGCAGTAACTTGATAAATAGCTAACTCCATTATTTAGTTTTTTATGTTTTAATAAGATCCGTTTTTAATTATATTAAGCACATTACTTTATTTTATATAATTTCTCTATATAATTGTACAATTGGACATCTAAAAAAAAAAAAAAAGACAAGAAAAAAGAAAAAAATCATCAGAAGCAATTTTCTATGTTTTTTTGTGCTCAAAGATCAAATTTCAACCAAATTATGTAACACATGGTACACTTGTCATAACTGAATGTTTCTACAGGGAGATAAACAATGTGTCTTCAGTTGTTTTTATTTTCAGCTCAAAAATGAAATCGTTTATGTATTAGATTATAAGTTCCTTCCAAAAACATCAAATGAAGGTACGTTTTGAGGGAAAGCAAAGCAAGCACCAGCAGTTTTTTGGCAACTCCTCATTTGCAGATTATTCAAGCTTTGTGGTTTCATTGACACTACACACATTTCTGTGATGTTGTGGTGACGCAATAGCAATTTGCATCCCCTTACGGACACAGAGACATGATAGATAATCAAATCCAACCTGATCTCTTTGTTCCTCGTATCTCTTTCACTCTTCTGATCTATAAAAAGACTATTCAGGTGGATTCATCTGTCTAAATGGACACAAGTCAGTTTAGAACAGAGCTGGTATAAATGAGTACTGGATCATTATCTTCGTTTTCTCCCAGTAGCTCCTGCATCAGGGGTTTCCAAGTATTACAGTACTTTAATCCACCATCATGATCAAGCTGCTGCCTCTGATCTCACTCGCATCCCTGCACGTTCAATGTGAGTCTTACTTTACATCATTAGCAGAGGCTGGACAGACTTTAGTTTGTACTAACTCAAATAAAATGACTCTTATTTTATGGATTGGTTCTACTACACGGTATGTTTGCTTCAAGTTGTTTGTGTTCAATGACACAAGTATGAATTACATGTGCTCTCAGTGTCATCACAGTTCTCTTATGTCACTTTTTACAGTGCACTTTCTAGTTTGCACAGGAAATTCAGACTGCATTCATAGTACACAACATTATTTTAAATGATATATAGAAGATGAAATATGTTTTTTTTTTTCTTCTTTTTCTTTTGGCCAAGCGTGGAGTGTTTCCATTCAATATTTGAATCGTGTTGGTGTGAAGTGTGTGCTCAGGGGTTTCTTAGCCATACCGGGCAAATATCTGCTATATAGTAATGCCTACTTTATCAATACAAATAACAGTAGTTTAGTGATTGCATTATCAGAGAACTCTATGAATATATCTGAAAACTTAACTCTTTAAATGAAGACTTACTATCCTTGTGTAATATTTATTTTGAGGCCAAATATAACCAATCATGAAACCATCCCTAGAGAGATTGTCATTATAATACAGTTTTAGAAGACCTCACCAATTGCAATGTTCACTTCACTGTCTGAGTGGCTTCAAATGTAGGTAAAGATTGTGTTGAACACGTATAGCATTTGAAATCAGATCATCTCCATTGTCTTGAGAACAAGTTTGGGTCTTAAGAAATGTAGCTTATATTGTTGTGGGGGACTAGAGAGTACAGGCTTCTATGCAATTAATTTTTGTTGTTGTTGCCTCGACAGAAAAACAACAGGTTTCAGTATCATGATGCATTTGTGGTATTTGAGTAATTGATGTGCACTTTCATATCATATCTTATTTTTGATTTGAATCAAATTTTGGTTTCATCATGGCTAAGCTCTGTGAAGTAGAAAGTGCTGTATGATTTCAGTATTTTAAAATGTTTGATGCTTATTCATTTACTGTTTAGAAATGCTTATATGGTTAAACAGTGTCATTTTGGAATCTGGATTTTCATTGTCCTAATGCCAGTGTGCTGAATACCTTAAAATGATCATTGATCAGTTGATCATTGTTACAGATTTTGTTTCATTTTTTTTTTCTCCCTCATTTTAAAAAGGCTATCCGGTCACAGAAGTTATGATGAAATATCTTGAAGGTTTGGTGCTCTTGTGTTCTCATTTTAATTTTGTGTCCTTGCTCTGTGTGCAAGTTCAGTTTCACATAAGGCCCCTACAGTTTGAGAGTTGAAATGTAACTTTCTCAATCCACTTGTTGAAAAGCCTTTCATGACAAATAATAAAAAAAAGTTTTGAAATCCCTGTTTTCTCGTATTATTGTTATTATTATTCTCAACACTTGTTGACAATTCAGCATAGTTCAGAAGTCTAAATACAGGCAAATGTCTTTCCTAAATGTATCAAAGCCTAAAACCCTTCACCACTCCCATTTACCCTGTAATCTAAATGTGTGTTTTAGGGAAACATTTAACTTGGTTAGTATTTCAGTATCATTTAAATATAGTGTTTATTGATATTTTGAATTAAATTTTATTTTTATGTTTTCATTTTAATTGTAATGCCTTTACTGTTTTTTTTTATATATTAATATTTTTTTTCAATTCATTTATTTTTATTTCAGTTTTAGTAATTTAAGTGCTATGTTTTCATCCTATATTTATGTAT